TATACTACTATAGCGAACTACCAAGATACCAAGTCCTCAGACCAATGAATGATTTTAAGACTGCTAAAAGATACAGATTTTTAGTCTGTCACTTCAAGAAAGTATACTAATCCCAGTACTGTCATTAAACCCATGAAGACAAATTCTGTTCTACACATTAGCCTCATTACCACAATGGCTAGCATCTTCTAACAGCACCTTAAGTTACTACACAGTATCTGTTACCGACATTCCCCTGGGAAGACATGTGCACGTGATCTCTTTGGGTTCCTGCCCTCAAACAGATAGGTGCTACATTAGAGGAAGAAAAAAAAAAAAAAAAAAAAAAAAAGAAATCAACCCACACACCACAGAGTCGGAAAACTACCAGATTAAAACAAACTGACTTTGGAGGGAAGACAACAAGATTTGATGAAGTTCATTCCAGTCTCAGCCCTTCCCTGGGAGGAAAGGGAAAAAAAAAAAAAAAAAAAAAACCCCCCCACCACAAAACCCACTCCTGAGTTTTCTCCAGATTATAGAAAATTCTACTTTGCCAGGAAAGAAGCATCACAAATCACAATCTTTGCTCTGCAGCTTTAGACAGTCTTGCAGACATGCAGAGCCTAAAACCATCAAGCACAGTATTTTAGAATTTAGAATCTGAAAGCAGACTTGAGGAGGCTGCAGTTCACATGATTGGAGACATAATGCAAATTCCATACTGGGTTACTCAAACATTTAACTCGTAGTCTAGATGTGTGGTGACATATGTCTAACTATAGAACAGAGCATCCCAGCTAAATAAATAGGCACCTCTCACCTTAGGTTTGCAAAACCTAAGTCTGTGTTACCACACCTGGTAACCTACTAGTTAAGCAGACTTTAATATCTTTTTTTTTTTTCCCCTCCCCCAGGAACTGCATGCATGAACATGATGGCTAACTTTGGGCCACTGTAGATACTACCCTTATTAGCCAACTATTTAACAGACTCTGTTTTTAAAGTATCTGGATGACCAGAAATGAAGACGGATAACCAATTTCTCAAACACCTCAGGTAATAAGAAAAACAACTGGATCTTTCAATAGTGTCCACCTGAATAAGAAGTTTTGCTTACACTTGATATCACTATGGGCAGTAGGTCTGAACTTTCTATACAACCTGAACTTAAATATTTAAGACAGCTTGCTCCCCTACTTAAGCAAACAGCAATATGACTACTATCCACACATCAGTTTCGTGGTCCTCCAAAAAAGAACCTCTACTGTAGGTAATGTGACAGTAACTAAGAATGTTCAACCCTTGAAGATCTAAGAAAACTACTTAGCAATCTGTCTCAAAGGCTACCTTTGTTAACAGGGAAATTTAAACAAAAGCATACTTCCTGCAGAATATCTTGCAATTTGATACCAGTATTTACACTCAAAAAAAGAGGCAGGGGGTGTAGGGGGAAAGAGAGAGAGATCTCGTAGGAACCACATTTTTTTAGAAGGACAGGATGAGACACAGCTGATCTTTATCAGCAGGATCTTTTCTGGTCAAAGCTGTAGTAGAGCCTCTGTGACACCTGAGACAGGAAGTTGCATTGACACCCCCCACACACTCCTCAGCATCAAGTGAAGTCATGTCCTCCTGTAAGTAAAGAATTACCTCCAAGCAAAGCAGCCCATAAAATACTTGCAAAGCAAAAAAGACAGCAAAAGAAATAAAAAGATCCAATCACTCCCAAGAATTCCTGATGCTTGCCCTTCCTTCTATCCATTTGAAGATTTGAGCTCAGTAACAATTGCTACTCTGAGGGGAGACCAATTGCATTAACAATTTCATCAGTTACTTACGCATGTGTGTATTGCATATAGATGTATAACATTAGAACTAATTCATGAGGAGAACTACAACCTGAATTAGTATTAACTACCTTCAAAAACCTAGAAGACTTCTTCTGTACTTGACTCTTTAAAAAAAAAAACCTTAAAAAAATAATCATGTAGTTGCATAATAATTAGACTTTGAAATTTAAGAGTAGTGCATGAGAAAATAATTTTGTTCCTTCAACAGAAGCATCTATAGTGTAATTTATTCATAACCCAAGACTCCTAGCAGGATTTTGTTAGTTTAGATTAACAATACAAAATGGGTCAAGATCTTACACATGAAAATGGAAGCTGCAGGAGTGCCGAATACACTCCTACGTTTCCTAAGGTAGCTCATGAGCTAATTAAGGCTACAGTCATGTTTATTACCACATTTAGCTGCCACACATGAAGAATCCTCAAGTGGTCTATTCAGGAGGTACAAATATATTTTTATAAAATTTGGTTTTATTCTTGATAAGTCACTTTATTTAGTTTCTTACCCTATTGTTGGGTTGATGTTGGGATCAAAGCTATCTTCTACAAATCTCCACACGATACTTGATTTGCCCACACCAGTGTCCTAAAAAAAGAACAGAAACAGTTGAAAGAGACATTACTTACTATCAACAGATGATTCTTTTTGTCCTCAAATCTTGCAATACACTGTGCATGAATAACACGTTCCTGCAGAGAATCTCAGAGAAGTTAGATTCTGAAATACTTCAGGTATTCAGGTATTATATTAATTTAGTAGAAAAATGAAAGGTCTCTGGTAAGTTACAGTTTTCTAAACAAAATTGTTAAGATGTTTTTATGAAGGACTATAAAAATCTGCATTCATGCTTATTATCAGGTATTCAAATTTCTTTTTTCCCCCAAAGCTAGGCACAAATTGCATTTGAACAGGAGTACGGAAAGACCGTCTACCACTTTTAGTAAAATATACAGCAATTGAGTATGGTACTCCATCTTTGCAAGCCAATGGAGCACATTAAATTATACAAGTGTGACACATGCACTTCAGCCTCTGACTAATACTGTCCCACCCTGCTTAATGAAAGACTTGAAATTTCTTCTGTGACACACCTGAAACATGTTTCTAATGCAACTCTACAGAGCTATAAATGGTAAAAGAGGAAATGTAACATGAGAATTCTGGGCCATGTATGTATTTGCACCACTGAGTCCATAGTTTAAAAAAAAATATATAGAAGGCATATTTAGGAGTGAAATAACTCCACAAACTATTAACAGTAAAACTGTTCTCAACAGCAACTGGACATTTTAAATGGTTATTTAATTAAGACAGGTGAAGACAAACTTTTTGCTTTACATCTCCAGAGTCATTAACATTTTAAGGAAAAAAAAACCTGAGGAACTGCTTCATTGAAAATGAAGTTTTACGCCATTCATGCATTTTCTTGAATCTTCTGAATACTGTAGTAAAGTTGGGTACAGTATGTATGCTTGTGTTTATCTTTTCAAGCTGTTTTCCTCTCAAGGAAAAGCGTATTATCTCAGTTCTGTATTTTATAATGTTTGCAGTCTCAATAAGCAGAGCAAATCTTAAAAAGAGAAACATAGATGCAGTTCCTGGCTCCGGGAGTTCAAGGGCCAGTTTTCCTGGGTGCTTATTCTCCTTTTCTTACACGACGAAAGGTTTCTTGGGTGAACGCAAACAGTAGCTAGTAGTTACCCCAAATGCCTTCATAACACGAGGAGCACAGAAACACATAATTTTCCCTCTGAAGGGCCATACGGCCATTTAGAAGCAGAAAACAATTCTGCCTGTCATACTCCACACAACACAAGATTTAGATACAGGTGGAGACAACTCCACCTATTCAACGCAAGGCTCTCCAGTGAAGCCCTCAGACCAAACCAAGCCCACACACAGCTTTATAGCCTTGATTTTTTTTTTAACTTCTACTTCAGTTTGCTTGATGTCTCCTTCTTCCATCACCTGCAACACTTCGGGCACTTTCAAAGCCTACATATGTTGTTAAAAAAAGTTCAGGCCCCTCCCCCTCTCCCGCGAGTTTGATTTCAGGTGCTTTTACTTATTTATTTTGTGAACGCCAAGCCCGAAACAGCTTGCGAGGAGGAGGGAAGCATACACTGGATGTTCGTGCTGCCTCTCTTTTCTTTTTAAAAGGAAAACACCGAAAAAAAGGAGCAATATTTACCTCTGGAAAACGCCTCCCCAAAAAAGTTCAGGCCCCTCCCCCTCTCCCGCGAGTTTGATTTCAGGTGCTTTTACTTATTTATTTTGTGAACGCCAAGCCCGAAACAGCTTGCGAGGAGGAGGGAAGCATACACTGGATGTTCGTGCTGCCTCTCTTTTCTTTTTAAAAGGAAAACACCGAAAAAAAGGAGCAATATTTACCTCTGGAAAACGCCTCCCCCCGCGGAGGGGAAGGCCCTTCCGACCGCCCCGT